TCCTGTACAAAAATCCCATAGGGTGAACATAAAACCTAGTAGGAAATCCTTAACAAAGTATATACATTTTATACAAGTCTTAAGAGATGAATGCATGTGCTATGCCATGCCCTTTTGAAAATAAAACACATCTTTATCTTTTGAAAATCATCATATTCAATGATGCCATGCAATTTCAATAATTCAACTCTTATCAATTTTATTCAAGGGGCGGTGAATACTATTCTGGTAATCCCTAGGTCTGTGTCTGCAAGTAGTCTATATAAGTACTATCAATTTGTCATTTTTATCAGCATTGACTGGAAGGCTCGACACCTATAATCTGTCATTTTTACCAGTATTAACTAGAAGGCTCGATACTTATTCAATTTCATCTACACCACCTATCAAGACTTACCATCGTATTTACCCTAAAGCCAATTCATGAAAACTTGTTTCTCAACGTTCTTTTCTCAATGCAAGTTTTCAAATCAAATTTTAAAAACTCTTTATTAACAAATGGATTGATATGCCAATGCAATGATTTATAATACAATGCAATATTTCTTTCATTTTCAATATTTTTACACAATATTTCCATGGTGATAAAAAATCTCCATTTCTCCATTCAAATGCAATTTCACGTGATGAATAAATAATTTTAGTTCAATTCATCCAAGGGATAACCAAATTTCCACCTTTCAAGCAACCTCAACAATTTAGTCATCTCAAGACTATGTCAACACTTTTAAACAACAATTTCTAAAACTTCTACAATCATCATATTCCATGAAAAACATCATTTATATGTAAATAAATAAATAAATTTTCAAAATATCATTTATTTTAGCACACAAAATAAATATAACAACATCCCCCAAAGATTTTCAACATCTTTCAAAAAAATCTCCAATTTCTAGGTTCTCTCACCAAAACCATCCATTTTCAAATATTTAAGAAGATCTCATCGGAAACATCTTTGTTTTTGCAACATAGTTCAAAACCCTCAATTCTTATAAAAAAAAAAAAAATAGAAAGTAGACCCACTTTCAAAATCACTCATCTTCTTGAATCAACAACCTATTTTCCAAAATTAATCAAAGGATGATTTCGAAAATCATCTAGATTTTGCAAAAACATATATATAACTCAAAGAAAATCCCTACATTAAGTTTTGAAGAAAAATTGAGATGAAACCCCAAAATCAATGATGCCTAAACTCGATCTTCACCGCACACAACGAAGCCCTCAAGGTGATAACCAACTTTGGTGAAGAACTTAAGCCTAAATCCCAATGTATTTGGAGAAATCAAAGAGAGAAGGTGACTTCTAGAGAGAGAAGCTGTAGATTTAGGGTTTTTGAGTGAAAAGGAAATCAAAGTGAAGCAAAACGGCGCTGCTGGTGACTAGTATACACCGGGCTCACTTGAGCGAAGGGGTTCTCGCTCAAGCGACCTAACACAAAAAGGTTGCCTCGCTTGAGTGCAAGAAGCGTCGCTCGAGCGTAAAATACCAAGCTTCATAAGTTTTTCAGACGCACTCCTCGCACGAGCGAAAGACTCTTTTCTACAAAAGTACTAGGAGCTCACAAAGCTCGCTCGAGCGCAAGAAGCCTTGCTCGAGCGAAGAGCCAAAATTCTAGACGACAATAGTTTGAACAACTTGCAACTAACCAATTCCAAACACTCCGAAGGCATCCCAAAACTCAAACTCAAAGAGTGGAAGGAAGAAAGGACGTAGATAATACTTTTTAACCATGAAATCTGAGTCCAGAACACCACAAGGGCGGGTCAAAGACCTGGATCGCTATAAGATATGTTCTCTGCCAAGAACAAAGGAAACAAATAAAAGCAAGGGGGAATGGAGGTAGCCCCATGTGGGCTCTCTCATCATTATTATTATTTTATTATATATATATATATATATATATATATCCATCTCTCTCTATGTATATAATTAAAAGTACAATTAGCAACTTTATAAAATTTTGTAACTTAATTTATAAAATGATATCATTATTTCTTCACCACAAAATATATTTCGTTTGCTTGAACATATCACAAAATATAATATTTTGCTCACCACGAAATATACGTTTATTTTATTTACTATAAAAATATATAATTTTTTACCATATGGTACACACCATAAAATTAACTATCAAATATTTATTATAATCCTATATAATAAATAATAACAACTCCCAAGTGGTTATTACCAATCACATTTTAGAAGGACCAAACAGTTAAACGTGAATCATTAAACAAACTCAATTTCAATTAAATCTAAGTCATGAGTCTCACCCATAAGTCAAATATGGTCCAATTATATACCAAAATAGACCCAATAAATTTATCTCAAATCATGGTCGGAACACCCAAAACTCAATTTTAAATTCTGCTATAAATTAAACTAAACACCAATCAGTGCGTGAATTTTCATAAAATAAATACTCATAATTAAATTCTGAAATTTTTATCTAACGTGCTAGACTCATATGGGAATAACATATAAAAATTTCATAATTTTCAGAGATCGGGAACTATTTTTAAAAAATACAAACCGAACTGTTTTGGCACAAAATTTACACGGCAATCAAATTCGAAAATTTGCTCAACTAAATTATGCACTGGCTATTTAAAAAAAAAAATTGGGTCATTACATGTTATGTTTAATTTACTAGAATAAAATAGAATATTCATTTCTTAGCCTTCCTATAAAATTACCATTCACTTACCATGGTAAATAATGATTCTATTTGTAATATATTTTATTATTATTTTTTAATTGAACAAAACATGAAAATGAACATTCTAATATAATGATAATTTCATTCCACATTCTTTTCGGTGAACCAAACACTATTAAGAAAAGAAAAAAAAATTTGATTTACATACCTCACTCCTCAATATTAAATATTAATTATATATTGGAACCTATATAAAGGAAGTGCAATCTTCATGGCCTTGTTTAGAATTTGGGATCTTTTCGAGAGAAGCCTCGTCTAGAATTTGGTATCTTTTCTAGAGAAAAAATGACTTTGAAATTTGACAAGATGGAGATGTACAGAGACGTATTGTTTTGTGAAATTGTGATCCCTAGGAATTGGTGGGAAATGAAACACAGTTAATGGAGAGTATGTTTTTATGCTTCACACATTTGCAAAGAGTCACAACGGTTTGTGTTCAACCGTAATCATTGAGAGAAAGCATTGACATTGTGGCAAGTGTGAAGGGCATCTTCAGAATTTAAAAAAAAAAGAAGAAAACACGCCTAAGGCTTCACTCTTTTTATAGTAGTAGCAGAAGTAAATAGTAGATAGATGGATATATAGATAATAGACACAACCTATATTTATTTGGGAGATTTAGTTATCCGTTATATTTCAGACACTTATAGTAGGTTAAGTCCTGTATAATTTTTTATGGAGTTTCAAGTCCTATTTAGATAAGAATGTATTCCACAAGATCCTATGAGTTGTGAATAAATGGCATTAACACTACGCCAAAACAGGACATTAACGGCGGTTTCGTTACCACCGTTTAAAGATACTATTAACGGCGGTAACGAAACCGCCGTTAATACCGCCGTTAATGTATCTTTAACGGCGATTTTCGTTACCGCCGTTAACAAAATCGCCGGTAATGACCCTTTAACAGCGGTAATGAAACCGCCGTTAAAAAACCGCCGCTAAAGCCCTCTCATTACCGCTGTTAATGACGGCGGTCTTTGTCGGCCGAGCCCGGCGGAGCTCCGGTGAGTGGTGACCACGCGCGGCTAGGGTTGAACATGACCATCTACAATAAAGTAAAAGTAATGTTTAAATATTTATTTAGGAAATATATTTCATGAAGAGTGGTTGTGGTGGAGTGGGTGGATGAGAGGTTGAGGGTTCAAGACTTGGGGTGTGCAAGAAGAAATAATTATTTTTTGAAAAATTTGAACCTATTTACGGCGGTAAAGAACTGCCGTTTTTGGTCTTATATTACCGCCGTTTTTGGTTGACTTTTAACGACGGTAATTTACCTTTTTATGACGGTTGTACTTTTTCTAACACGTGCATAGACGGCGGTAACAAAACCGCCGTTAATACTGCCATTAAAGGCTTTAACGGCGGTAAAAAACCGCCGCTAAAGCCCAATTTTGGCGTAGTGTAATATACTATTATACACTATAATGGCAAAACTATATATATGAAATTAAATTTAAAAAATCAAAAACCTAGTAAGTTTGTGAAACGTAACGTAACACGTTACGTTACGTATATATAGGTGTCACGTTACGTTTATGTAGGTGTCACGTTACGTTACGTTTATGTAGGTGTCACGTCATATTACGTTTATGTAATGTCCCATCTGATATGGTCACGTTACGTTACGTTTATGTAGGTGTCACGTTACGTTTCCCAAACTTAATCTATAGTAACATTCAATTTCCTATATAGGAAATTGAATGTTACCATAGATCATATCCATATGAATGTGAATTTCAAAATACACGAACAAGTAACATTTTCACATTCAATTTAAAAAATCAAAAACCTAGTAAGTTTGCGAAACGTAACATGATACGTTACGTTACGTTTATGTAGGTGTCACATTACGTTTCGCAAACTTAATCTATGGTAATATTCAATTTCCTATATATAGTTTTAAAATTATTTATGATATTAATAACTAATATTGAGGGTAAATGTGTCAACAAATTTCACACAGGAATTATGGAAACATAAGTTTTTTAGTAGAACGATATGTAGCATAAGTCTCCTTAATAGGACTTATAAATAATTTTTCCTATTTAATTTGGTGTCATACATTTTTAAAAAGGGTCATGCTAATAATCTTTTAATGGTTATTCATTCAAAATCAAAAAATGTTAAAAAAAATAACATTGATATATTTACTCTTTATTTATAATTATATAGGCAGGAGGGTGTGTTGGGAATAACATTGATATATAAATTCATGATTCATGTGCTTGACAATCTATATGTATAACATCTTATAGAATTGTCACGTATAATGCTGAGAGTTCAAGGGGGAAGTGTTAGCATGGTGGAAATAGAGCATTGCCTACTAGTAAATACTCTTCTTGACTTCTCCAATCAACGATTTGTTATCCTCTTTGAATCATGTATCTATCTCTTCAATTTCTCTACCATTTAATCTTATTAACTCTTTCAAAAACTTTGTAGAACCCTTTGATTTATCTGGCCTGGTAGGCCATGGACGGTATTGCCATGAAATTAGTCTCACCATCACAATCCAACAATGGAGAAAAGGAGCTCAATGGTTCAAAATGGATCGAGATGTCGCTGTTGAGGTTATCTCAGACACAAAATATTTTTCACTATTTCGAAAGCATTGCAAGAGTTCATGTCGTGCCGATGAGCATTACTTGCCAACGTTTGTGAGTATAAAATTTTCGGAGAGGAATTCAAATAGAAGTTTGACATGGGTTGACTGGTCAAAGGGAGGTTTACACCCAGCTAAGTTTGTGAGAACAGGTGTGACTATTGAGATTTTGGAGAAATTGAGGAGTGGAAGGATATGTGAGTACAATGGGAATATCACCAATGTTTGCTTCTTATTTCCAAGGAAACTCACACCTATTGCTTTGGATAGGTTGATGAGGTTTGCACCAAAGGTTATGCAATTCAACCCATAGGATTATTAGAAAAACAATAATATGATGTTAGGGACTAAGAATACAAAAAAATTAAGAAAAGTAGCGAGTGGTTTATATTTGAACTTTTGTATAGTACAGCTCACACTCATTGACTACTTTTCTTATTATTTTTTTTTTTTGTGTTTTGCTTCGTAGTCTGTAACATTATTATTAAAACAACATAGTATTCTATTGATTTTAATTTATTGTAGGAAACATGCATAGTCAAGAACCAACGGCAGCCAACCAAATAAAAAATTCTTGATTTTTGTTGTTTTCCTTTGCATACATATATACTAGGTCACTTTACCCCTCAAATTTCAAAAAACAAAAATGAAATTATTTGCAAGCATTTTTCATTGCACCCAATGGGACATCGAAATATTTTGCTCATTCTCTTGTCAGGAAAAAAGATTTGTTCAAGGGGAATTGTGCTCACATTAATAGGTGTTGTGAGGAATATTTTTATTTTATTATTAAGTTTTTTTCCCCCCTATAATCAGCTTTAGCTCTTTTGATGAAGAATTCTTCTTTTCCCCAACGTCGTCCTTTGCCACCTCTGATTAATAGCTATCAAAGTTTACAATGATTGTATAATAATGCACATATTGTTATAAAGAATATAAATATAAATTTTTTAAATTTTTTAACAAGAACTTTTAGAGTAACCGTGAAAATGAGTCTAATGAATGACAAGTAACAACTATTACATCTTATAATTTAAGGGCCGTTTGGCAATGTCGGCTTTTTGACTTTTTTAACTTGAGACTTTTTTGTTTGTTTAGTTTTCTTGTTTGGCTTTTTTGCATTGAAATGACAAAATTGCCCTCAACTTGGAAATGATGTTTTTTTGACTTTTTGTTTGTATATGGGTTAGTTTGGTAATTTTGCATCCTAAATCAAGTGTTTTGTCATTTTGTGTCTTTTTTTTGTCCCTATGTGCTTTTTAGTCCCAATATGAAAATCAAACCAAGGCATAATTTTTTTTTAATTATAATGTTAACATTTAATTATCACCAAGTTATATATGTTAATCCCTTTTAGCTTTTTAGAAAAAAAGAAAAAAATTAAGTGGTTACCCTCCATATTAAAATACATCCAAACCTGTTAATTAATATATAATAAAAAATATTCTTGATCATAATTTTATTTTGCTTTATCTTTCACTATTCTCCATCTACTATTTGTAAATTATTAATAAAAATAACTCGCTATAAGATAAATTGGGGTAAGAGGTTGAGAGAGCTACAATTTAAGTCTCATAATTGCATCCTCAGTGACATAATAAATCACGTGTCAAATTATTTGTTGTAATCCAACCATATGAAGTCCAACTCGCACACTATATCATTGTGGATGAATTGTGAAACTTAAATTGTGAGTTTTTAGTATTTCTCATAAATTTTGAGTATTTGTTTTTTCCCTTTTGTTGTCGCACTACGGTGACATATACTGTTGTTGCGAGTAGATGCCAACGAGTCTAGTTCATCTCAAGTGATTTTTCTAAAAGATCCTAATTTTGTGTGTGCTGTTGTACCCTCAATTTTATTTATTTATTGATTTATTCTTTTGTACCTTAAGCTTTTATAAAATTAAATTTCAGCCATCTAAAAATGTAAAATAAATTGATAGAGAGAGAATAAATTGTATGTATTATGATTGATTTGATATGTACATAGTTGGTCTCCTTTATATAGGAGATGTGGGTGGAGAGTAGGTGTAGTGAAGTAGGTGGAGTAGGTGGAGTTGTGTAGTGGAGTAGGTAAAGTGGAGTAGGTGGAGTAGGTGTAGTGGAGTAGGTTTTAACAGCCCCCCGCAAACTCAAGGAGGAGAGACACAAATCAACTTGAGTTTGGAAAGAGTAACAAAATAAGAAAATAGACTAATACATAAAATAAAAGAGGATAGGAGACACTGTATGGTCGTGTCAGACCGTTGGTGAAGACACTGTATGGTTGTGTCAGACCGTTGTAGGAGCTAACCGGAATCAATGTCGGGACAGTTTTATGGGGTCATGCCGGACCGTTGTAGAAGCTAACCGGAATCAATGTCGGGACAGTTTATGGGGTCATGTCGGACCGTTGGAAAAGCTAACCGGAATCAATGTCGGGACAGTTTATGGGGTCATGTCGGACCGTTGTAAAAGCTAACCAGAATCAATGTCGGGACAGTTTAGGGGGTCATGCCGGACCGTTGTAAAAGCTAACCGGAATCAATGTCGGGACAGTTTATGGGGTCATGCCGGACCGTTGTAGAATACACTGTATGATGGTGTATATAGGCTGCCCAAATATATATACATGGATATATATATCGAGCCCTCAAAAGTCGCGCCCTCAAAAGGCGCGCCCACTTCATCAAAAGATGTGCCCTACAGAAAGCGTCGAGCCATCAAAAGTCGCGCCAGACACGCGGCGATGCACGTGATCGACAGAGCGCGTGTCGTCCTCGTCGTCATTGTCTATATAAACCAAAGCGGAGGCTGTGCAAACCAAACCAGTCTTGAAACCTCTGAACATTTGCATTCGGAAACACTCTGCAACCAACTTTTTCTGACATTACCAGTCTGAAATCGCTGCTTCTCTGAAACACTTAGCAACCCAAAACATGGCCTCTTCTTCCCGTGGTCTGCTTACTCTCTTTCCAGACCTCAACGAGTCCACAAGAGAGATAACTAGTGCGGTTGCCCTTGAATCTCAACCAAGCGCCCCTGGGTTTGCTCCGTTGACCTTTTCTATGCGGTCTGTGGAGCAAATAATGGCAGCGCAATCAGATATTGAGGCCAATCAGTATACATTGAAGTCATGTGTGGAGATGATGACTGCAGTCACAAACTTGTCGCATCGGCTTCAGAGTAGGACAAATGAGGTGCAACAGTTAAACGCCCAACTGGCTCTGCTCCAACGCATGTATAAGGATGCGCGAGCAGAGATATGTATGTTAAAGGTGGAAAATAAGGAGCTGAAGCGGAAAGCCACCGTTATGTTCCGATTTGGAGGTCCGCCATATGCTGCAATGGAGGAACAGGGGGGAGTGAATGTGCTCGGTGGCGTGGGAAACACGGAGGCAACACTGTCAAGAGCCGTCCAGGACGGAGGCAAGAAGAAGAGACCGGCGGAAGAGGCGAAGAAGTGAGGTCGGTGGGTGGCCGTCTGCAGAAAAGAAAACAAATCTTTTGTTGTTGTGGGTGTTGGAGTTGTGGTGTGGTGTTTGTTGTTTTTTTTTTTTTTTTTTTTAATAAATTTTTTTTTTTTTTTTTTTTTTTTTTTTTTTTTTTTTTATGCTTTGCTTATTATTATTATTATTATTTTTATTTATTTTTTTCTACAGGTGGGAATGTACATATAAGAAAAAAAGTAAAGTGAGAGCGAGAAAAGAGAGAGGAACTTTTGGGGGGAGGATGTTCGGGCGGTGGAATAGATTATAGAGTTTTGGATGAGTGGGTGAAACATGGTGGGAACAAAGAGAATAAAAAAATAGAGGGTGAGGAACATGAGGATATGGGATAAAGACCAGAAAAAGTAAAAATAAATAAATAAAAGAAAAAGTAGATCGGCTTAGAGGATGGGTGAAGGATTGGATCAGATCAAACGAACACAAATTGATCACCAGCTGGCAGCATATAGTTATTCACAGATTTGAAGAAGCAAAAAATATATGAAGCTAGCTTAAGAAGGATTGAACCAGCACAAACTGAAATCGGCAAGCTAAGGCCGATGCCGACCAAGAAGGACAGCAGGGGGCAGTGTCGGAGAAAACTAAAGCCGAGATCGGTAGAGCTAGCGCCAGGGGCAGCCAAGATAGGTCGGCAACATTGAGTGTAGCTTGGACAAACAGTAAGTGAGAAGGGTGCTAGACGGACCAACGACGCATTGAAAGGGCGACGTGGTCCGCGTTGATTAATCACGGCCGAAACCAGTGAGTATGCAAAAAACCGAGATCTATATGATTCGAACTCCGAAAAATAGCGCTGGGTTGTGAGAATAATGAGCTGGATGGTGTTAGGCAAAACCACACATATCGCGTTGAGTGGGCGATGTGTGGTTTGCACTGAACAGTCGAAGACGAAGGCAAAGCACTGGACAATCCGAAGCCAGAGGCAGCAGTGGTGTCGTAGAGGAGTTGTGGTCGGTTCTGGGCAGTCAAAGCCAAAAGCAAAGTTGCAGCAGTGGTGATGTCTCAAGAGCAGGATGAAAAGGTGCGCAGGCCACGCAAGCTGGGCAGTCGTGTATGCAAGGCAGGGTCGGGGATGATGCGTCGTTGGGCTGAGGTGAAGTATTTACAACGGCGGGGCCTGTGGCTGCGGCGATAAACAATGTGCAAACTGTTGGACTCAACATTTGTGTGCATGGAGAATGAGATGGGTTGGTTATCCCCATCAAGATTCAGTATATCCAAATCCATAATAGTTGAACCCAAGAGACTTGTTATGTTGGGTTGGTTACCGAGAAGAGAATCAGAATTAGCTATATGGAAAAGTTTTGCGGTTATCACTGTAAAGTAGAGAGAGAAAGTGTGAGAGAGGTCTTGCGAGTTGATGGAGGTTTCAAATTGGTTGAGGTCCGGCGGGCGGTCAAGGCAAGGTTGCCGCCCGCCGGAAGGCGAAGAATACCAAGAGCTTAACCTTGCTCTGATACCATGTAAAATAAATTGATAGAGAGAGAATAAATTGTATGCATTATGATTGATTTGATATGTACATAGTTGGTCTCCTTTATATAGGAGATGTGGGTGGAGAGTAGGTGTAGTGGAGTAGGTGGAGTTGTGTAGTGGAGTAGGTGAAGTGGAGTAGGTGGAGTAGGTGTAGTGGAGTAGGTTTTAACAAAAAAATTACTATAGAAGATTTGGAATATGTGACAACTTTTGTTCCCAATAAATATGCAACCAAATGCCGTGGATGAGACTTTAGGTTGTGTTTATAATTTACCCAAGAAATAAAAGAAAATAAAAAAAACCTTAACATTTGAACATAATAACAAATCAAATTTTAAAAATCTTAATTTTATCAATCTAAACTTCAAAATTTTAATTTGGTAACAATTCTCAACCTCCGTTCATCTTTGTTTATAGAGAGAACTGAACTTTTTTTTTTTCCCTCTTAACACTTGTGGTTCTATTACTTGTTATTTTAAATTAAAGTAAAATAACAATTATTTTTACCATGAACCCTATTACAGAGGATCAAATTGTTAGATAATGTCTCAATGGGACCACATAATTAAATGTGGTGTTATCATTTATAAGAAGCCTACAATTTAAGTGATTCAATTTAGTTAATAGGCTTAAGGGCATATGTGTTATGGACCTAATGTGTAGATACTAGTTGTATAATTTCTATTTCTATGAGGGGCAGAAATAGAAATTAAAACATATTGGTATGGCTTATATTATACCAAATATCCAGCAGTGCTCGAGGGGTACAGCGATGCAAATTGGATATCGAATACTAAAGACTCAAAATCCCCTAGTGGATATGTCTTTACCCTAGAGGTGCTGCAGTCTCTTGGAAATCCTCCAAGCAAACATGCATAACAAGGTCGACAATGGAATCTAAGTTTATCGCATTAAATAAAACAGGAGAAGAAGCAGAATGTCTTCGCTTTCAGTTTTGAAAACCAATTACAACCTTTAAAAGGTTATGGTCCCTATTCCTTCCTAAGGTGAAAAAAAATAAGAACACTGGTGTTTTGTTTTTCTAAATCCTCTCAAGGAGAAACATAAGGCACCAAAGGGGAAAGGATTAGAAGGCAATAACATAGTCAATATCAAGGTTTTATTGACAATCATACACTTCCGTTTAACCGTACATTGATGGATTCAGGTATGTCATTTTGTCTTGATTTCTTGATGATATACATGGTAGATGATCCGAAACATGAAGTTTCATGTTCTGAAATTTATGCTTACACAAACCTTTATTACAGAGGGTTTTTGTGAAGTACCTTGAATTCTGTTTTCTTTTTCCTTGTAATTTATCCTAAAGAAAAATAAAGAAATAAAAAAATTCTTTACATGGGGAAATAACAATACTTTGCCAGCATTTTCACTAAATTAACCCTCGCATTCTTTGCTTTGGATTTGTTTATTCTTCTACTTAATTTTGTGTATATGAATTGATATTGATCCACTTTACACTTAAATTTAATCTGTGTATGTACATCTGTACATATGCATGCACAGGCATGAAAACATCTTTCCTCATTTAGATTTTTGCATTAGTTTGTAAAACCAAAACAAAAGCTTGATAGTTTGAATTTATTATCTGTTTCCCTGCAAGTATGAATAATCAATAAATTGATTACTATATATATATATTTATGTGTGTGTGTGTTCATGTGTGCATGCATTATGTGCACAATTTACTTTTAAGTCCTTAAAACGATCCACTTTATTGCATCAGGTTTGATATCCAACAGATTAAAAACACTCAAACTAGTCCAGATTTTGGAGGGCTTCCAATTGCAAATAAGAAAAGGTAATTTAATTATTCACATTTTTTTCCCCAATTGGTAGGAGATTATAACTGTATAAGGAGAATTACATTTATTTGGACAATCATAATCTAATAACAGAATGGCACAGCGATAAACACTATAAGAACAAGTCCAACAAAAAATAGCCCCATAATGGGAAATAAATTATCAGTCTGTCTTTGACAAAAATTGAGCCCTAACTTCTCAGTTAAAAGTATACAAGGGTGGACAATTGAGTTAAGCCAATGATCAATTATTTTAATCATATGATAAGTGTATTTTACTCATTAATCAATTCAAGTGCATATCAAGTGTAGTACTTAATCTTTAATCCGAGATGCATTATTTGCTATGAATACACAAATGATTTTGTTGGAAATGGTGGAAAAATTTTGGGTAAAATTAGAATTTTTTCTCAAGTTTGGTCTATTTTTTTAGGTGGGCCCCGAGTGTCGATTTACTCGGGTCAAAGTGGTAACGCGTTCTATGCCGTGTTGTGATTCACGTGGTATATTTGGTTGCTCAAAACCATTACCGAGTGAATTTGAAATTGAAGCCAAAGTGTGCTCCATGGAAATGGAGTTTTGGTGGAAATTCCTTAAGGTTGTAAAATGGCTTGTCCCAATACTAATCTTTTTGGGCAAAAAATATTTGAATTTAATTTTATTTTTGGTAAAATAAAATTCAGAATTCAAATTAAACTGATTTGGATTTTCTGTACATCCAAACAGGGCCCTTCCCGTTTTCAAACAGAAATAAACTAGTTTGGAATTAGTGCACACCCAAACAAGGCCCTTCTCATTTTTTGCTATCTGTTTGAATTATTAACAGATTCAAATCTGTTTGAATTCAAAACCAACATGTATCATACCTGTTCAATTCAAAACCTAGAGCCACCATTCCATCTATAAATAGGACAGCCTTTATTTGGATTTAGATAACTCTAATTTTCGTCCTTCATAATTCTGCAAACATCCTCTTCATTTTGCTGCATTATTTTCTTGTCAGAGAGAGTATAAACACTTTGTATGTTCGTTAGACAAACAATTTGTAGTGCTGCTATTGTTTGTAGTAGATCATTTTATCCTGGGAGATAGACGTCCACATTCTGAAAGCACCGTGGAGAGGACAAATCTGTCTTAAGGACATAGTGTCAAACACTGGACTTGATCAGATTTTAATTCGAAGAAATTAAATCAAGTAAGTTATTTAATTAATTTTTGCGTTATTGTTATTTATTTAAATCAGATTTTAATTTTGTTTTTGTAACAAAATAAAATCTGTTTTTATTTATTTATTTATTATTTCGAGTTTGATTTTTGTAATCAAACAAATTCTCTCATTTTCTTTATTTCTTTAAATTCTAGTTGTTGTTTTGTACACAATAGAATTAAATCTTTTAAATACAGTGAAGATTGTCCAACAGATTTTAACTGAAGTCTGTCGCTCTAATCAACTAACTACAAAGTGACTAACCCCCACTCCATTACCTCACATTTTGTCATCAAAAAATTGCCAACATACTATCCTTTTGTATTAAACAAAGAATTTGATTAAAAGAGATTCATGCAATACAAAATTGATAATAAATTTCTTTTCAATTCTACAATTTCGTTTTATCTCACTACGATTATGATGGTAATTTTGTTTTTATCATACAGGTCGAGGTTTTCCCTCTTCCACGCTTGTTTTTCACTATTCCCTCTCAAAAGTTACGTTTGGATGAAAATCAAGACCTCCTAAGCTTTACTCGCCTCTTGGATCCTTCTTTCTATTTTCTCCCATGGCTAAAGGAATGCATTTTGTGTGTGTTCATGTGTGCATGCATTATGTGCACAATTTACTTTTAAGTCCTTAAAAAATGATCCACTTTATTGCATCAGGTTTGATATCCAACAGATTAAAAACACTCAAACTAGTCCAGATTTTGGAGGGCTTTGGAGGGCTTCCAATTGAAAATAAGAAAAGGTAATTAAATTATTCACATTTTTTTCTCCAATTGGTAAGATATTATAACTATATAGGGAGAATTACATTTATTTGGACAATCATAATTTAATAACAGAAAGCGATAAACACTATAAGAGCAAGGCCAACAAAAAAATAGCCCCATAATAGGAAATAAATTATCAATCTTTGTCTTTGACAAAAATTGACCCCCTAACTTCTCAGTTAAAAGTATACAAGGGTGGACAATTGAGTTAAGCCAATGATCAATTATTTTAATCATATTATAAGTGTATTTTACTCATTAATCAATTCAAGTGCATACAAGTGTTGTAATTAATCTTTAAATCCGAGATGCATTATATGCTATGAATACACAAATGATTTTAACTGAAGTCTGTCGCTCTAATCAACTAACTACAAAGTGACTAACCCCCACTCCATTACCTCACATTTTGTCATCAAAAAATTGCCAACATACTATCCTTTTGTATTAAACAAAGAATTTGATTAAAAGAGATTTATGCAATACAAAATTGATAATAAATTTCTTTTCAATTCTACAATTTCGTTTTATCTCACTACGATTATGATGGTAATTTTGTTTTTATCATACAGGTCGAGGTTTTCCCTCTTCCACGCTTGTTTTTCACTATTCCCTCTCAAAAGTTACGTTTGGAAGAAAATCAAAGACCTCCTAAGCTTTACTCGCCTCTTGGATCCTTCTTTCTATTTTCTCCCATGGCTAAAGGAATGCATTTTCCTCTGTTTTTAATTTGAATTTTCACCGTTATGTAGCATTAGTATATCAATTTTATTTATTTTTTTAATTTTAATATTTGATTTAGGAAAGTTTTGCATCTTAAATCCCCAAGTAATACCTTGTCTATGATCATCATTGGTGGATTTGCAGTTTATGCTTGCAAAACCTTGTCAGAAATATTTTGTGGTTCTTGCATAATAGAATCAAACGAAAAGGGAAAAAGTGTAGTTCATTCATGCGTCCAATTTTCAAGCGACTTTTTAATGTGTGTCTTTATCACCCATAGGAATGCACTCTTCGACTATGTTTGGTTAATAGATGTGGGTAGAGATTTGAAAAGAGAAAGGGAAAAAATGTGTGAACGGTGTATGAAATATAATTATATTCCATTCACATTTTATCTATCTTTTTCATTTTTCATTCCAAATCCATGAATCAAATACAACTTTCATCAATTAACCCTATTTTATTTTTGTCAATCAAATTCACCTCAATTAAGTATAAGGTGGATCAATTTATTCTTCTCTCAAACCACATTTATTCTATATCTGAAATCATCTATTCTACGCTTGTGTGTTTTACCAGCAAATAGAAGTACATATATATCATTTAAAATACTGAGAGGGTAATTTACGTGAATAGTTTGGGTCGAGCTAAGTCCATTTGTCTTAGACATTGGGCCGAACTACGGCTGAAGTAAATGTTTGGATAGCCCGGTCCTGGATCATCTAGGCATCAAGTCGGTCAGAGATAGGTTGCTAGGGGCCTGACCTAGCTATTCCAGGCCAAACCCCGTAGAGGACCGAGGTGTTAGTAGGAAGGAGGACCGAGCTAAGGGTAGCTCTGCAGGGCGCCATCTTAAAGTTAGGACTACCACGATGCTGCCTAAAACAGCACCGAGCCATGTAAGGCTCGGTTGAGTGTGGTACCAACCGAGGTAAGAGTTGCAACCATCCCACTTGGTTGGTAGTGAGTAGAGTGTTATTAGGATATGCATTATCCTTGGAAGCATGATTTCTAGGAGGACTCTGCTAAGGAGAGTTAGAATCCTACTAGGATTGTGCCAAGCAGAATTTATAAAAGCTCATGATAGGACCTATGCACGGGTATCACAATTCTTACTCTCAAATACACAGAGTTTTTGTGTCTATTGTCTATTTTGCTGACTTAGGCATCGGAGAGGTTTCTGGCACACACCAGCCGGCTAACTCATGTTTATGTTTTCAGGTAGTAAAGCGACAACGTTCGGAGGAGTGTAAACTTGATTAACAGAATTATACGAGAAGATTATTTTGTGCTTGTACAATTGGTGCCATCTGTGGGAAGCTTTACAGAGAACAAACCTTTTGACAAAGTTTTTCTTCAATTAATTCCAATGGCGCATAATGAAGACTTGTCACATTCTGCTATCGATGGGCAAACCCCAGAAGGGGGCGGGAGGCGTAAAGGTTTGCCTTTTGTCCTGCCCATGGCAGAATTGGATCCCCAACAACGAAACCCACAGAGAGATGCTTGAGAAAGACGAGGCTCAAGTCTACACCGCTCTCAAAGCCTTGATAGACAGAGGTGGAGGATGGATCCTCAGGTTTTGGAAGATCGCATAAGGGAGTAAGATGAAGTGATAAGGAGAATGGTGGCTGACATGGAGACTTTGAAGTGCCAGATAAAAGGCAAACGGGTGGCAGTAGAAGAGATGGGCAAAGGCAGGATGCACGCTTGCCACTCCGGAGATCGTGACAGGCAAGTCACACCATTTCAGACTGAAAGCAGAAGCCTCAGGACAGGCGACATGCAGTCAAGAACCTCTAGGACTCGTTACTCCAGGTCTGAGAGAACGAGGACTGAAAGGTCTTGTTTGGAGAGGAAGTAGTTATCGGCCCTCGCATATGCACCAAACGACATCTAGGCACACAGAGCTGCCTAGGTCGGCAAACTTGCGGACAGTGCTAGAAGAAAGGGCTCGAAGAAGAGAAGATCATCAGACGTGGGAAACTCAAAAGGTCTCTGCTCTATAGCGGTTGGCTCCTTGGACGCATGGAAGTGTCGAGGTTGGAATGCCAGTATCGCGCATTGCCTATGAACCAGCAAAGAAAGCATTAGCAAGGTGGCAGAGCTCACCGTTCATTCCAGCGATAGAGAATACACCATTACCCTTAGGCTTCCACCAGCCTAAGTTCACAACTTATAAGGGAAAGTTAGACGCCTACATGCACTTGAGCCACTTTCGCCAAGTCATGGCTGTATACCAACGGAACGAGGCTGTAATGTGTATCTTGTTTCCCACAAGCTTAGGCGATTTGGGCTTGACATGGTTTGAGAGATTGCCAGAAGGCAGCATAGCTTCATGGACGCAACTTGTAGAGGCGTTCGTTACCAGGTTTAAGACAAACACCAAGATGTCGATGGAGATAGACCAGCTGCTCTCCATCGACATAGGTGAGAAAGAAATACTAAAGTCTTACAATAATCGGTATTTGGAGACTTTTAATCAAATTGGAGATTGCCCCACAAACCTAGTTATTGCACAGTACAAACGGGGTCTACCAGCGGGCAATAAATTGGGGGATTCAATGACAATGATGCCACCCCTCACAATGGAGGCCCTAATGAAGAGAGTGCATCAGCATATCCGGGTAGATGAAGATGGCGCTTACGCCAAAGCAAAGTCTGGCACAACAGTGATGTCAGCCAAAAAAACCTGCGACAAAAGTTAACACGGTCGATTAGGAGGAACGATCGAACAAAAATGGTCAGGGCAGATGAGCCAATGGAGAGGACTCCCAGGCAAGGAAGTTGAGAATCCACACTGCCATCACCACAATGTTCAATAAACCTATCTATCGGATTCTTAGCGAGATACATGACGAACCCTTCGTTCGGCAGCCAGCCAAGTTGGGAGAAGCACAGAGGGGCTATGATGATAGGTACCGTTGCACATTCCATGATAAAAAGGGGCACCGAACTGAGAACTGCACCCCATTAAGGCAACATCTGGAGGAGTTAGTGGCCGCAAGCCACCTAGACCAATATATTGAAGGGGGAGCGCAGCCAGCCCCCCAGGACCGCAATAGACCAAATGGGACGCCAGCCAACGGTCCGCCCCAAGGCATAATCAATGCGATACATGGGATCATTGAGCCTAAACGAGTATGTGAACTCAGAGGGATGATCAAGAAGGATGAGCACATGATAGAGGTACTGAGTGCACAACCTATCATGAAAAAGGAAAAAACGGAGGCAACAAACGTCATCACCTTCTCTAACAAGGACTTAGCACGGTTACAAAGCCCTCACAACGACGCACTAGTAGTTACTCTGCGTGTCAAGAATTTTGACATCAAGTGGATCTTGATTGACCAAGGGAGCTCATATGAGATAGTGTACTACAAAACCTTCAAGCAACTCAAATTGGAGGACAAATATTTAGCATCTACAACATCTCCCTTAGTCGACTTCAACTCAATGCTAGAATAGCTAGTTGGCAAGATAATTCTACTAGTCAAAGCAGGAACAATGACAAAACAAGTGGAATTTTGGGTATTGAAAGTCCCATCCACTTACAACATAATCTTGGGAAGAGCATGGTTACACGCCATGCGAGCGATAGCATCAACCTACCACCAGGTGTTATGGTTCCCTAACGAAGCCAGAATGATTGAAGAAGTCTTAAGAGACCAAATCATGTCCAAGCAATGCTTCGTGACAGTGAACGGCAGTCGAGCTGCCAATGGGTTCGTACAAATGGTAGAGGAGCCAAAAAGCAACAAGTTGTTTGTAGACGTCGGCAAGGTAACCGAACAAAAAGCGGTGGAAGATCTGGTGGAGGTCATAATAGACGAGAAGATCCCAGAAAAGTTCTTTCTGCTTAGCTCATCTTTTTCCAGCATCGAGAGAATAAAGATCATGGAATTTTTGATCTCTAACATCGAGGTGTTTTCCTGGACGCCGTACAACATGCCTGGCATTGACCAAACTTCATCTGCCATCAACTCAATGTCCACCCAATTGCCAGACCAATTATACAGCGAACTCACCGATCGGCACTTCACCATACCAAGTTACTGGCTGAGGAAGTGGGAAATTTACTAGAAATAGGGGCAATCAGGAAGGTTCATTATCCTAGGTGGATTTTCAACACCATGGTGGTGCCAAAAAAGAACGACAAGTGGCTGTAGACCGCTTGAACTTCCTCCGCGCATCATCCTTTTCGGAGAGGGCGCGGATTTGGGTTCACAGCTACTACAGTTCGGACTCCTGTCACGGTTCTGTATCTAGTCTCACAAAGTGCAATGTAAGACTGATAAATCATCAAAGAGTCCAAATCCGGCAAATCGTTTTAGAAAATCGATTTTAATCAAGAAGTGTCAAACATGAACTGCTTTGCCAGATTACAGAGTCGCTACCTAAATGTTTTATTTTTTGAGAAATTTAGGAAACCCTGACTTGTGCCAAAAGCCACGTGTCCGTCATCACCAAAGTTGCCTCGGCTCGGAAACTTGGGTACGAGAGGGGAAGGTCCTGAAATGAGCACCCCCGCTCGCCCGATCAAAGGATCGGCCTCTACTAACATGATATGTTGTTTTGAAAACACATGTGTTCTTATTCCGGTTATTAACCTAACTTACTATGTGATGCGCATAGCATACAAGTATAGACTCTATCACGAGAATTGGAACAAAACATATTCAATGTTTGTTTTCGAAAATGGTTTAAATTTGCCATCCTCAAGTGGGCTTTAGAAATACGGATTTGCCACCAAACAAGGTGGGCTTAAAACATGATGATTTGCCACTTTAAGTGGGCTTAAAACTTGATGATTTGCCACTTTAAGTGGGCTTAAAACTCACATTTTGATGAATTGTTCCAATTCAAGTAATGAAGCTTTCATCCACAAGCATTCAAGTAGTTATAGCAATGAAGCAAATAGCTTCATGGCAAGCATGCCATCATGGCAGTCACTTACACACATGCAAGGATGCTAAAGCGAAAACACTTACAGTATACTCCGAGCCAAAACAGGAAACTAGTTAGAAATCAATGCATAATCCTAGCTATGTAAGATGCCTAATGCAACGCATGCAAAATACAACTAAATAGGCTCGGTTATCTAAGATGGCATATGAATGCAACACCTGATAACATGCTTTGAAACACGCATTCAAGTAAGTGTATTGAAATACAATACAGTTTGAATGATGCGCCGAACCCGGTGCATCTAAGACAAATGAATGATGCACGCATGCAAAGCATAAGGATGCTAATCAAAACATGTTCCTAAAACTAACCATCAAAAGCTGATAAGTAAAAGGAAGAAAGAAGTGGGGTTGGAAGACATGCACACACACACGCACCCTTATTACAACAATACGCCCTCTCACAAGAGGGTCCGAATGAATTAGCTAAGCTAACGAACCAATCTAATTAAGCTAACTAGATTAATTATTACACAACAAAATGAATAACTAATAAACTACTTACTAATTATTACAACACTTCATTAATTAACAAACTAATTAATTAAATTACCAAATAAGCTAACTAACAAGTAAAGCTAATTACAAATCAAACTGCCTCAGCTCTGCTCCAAGAGGTTGAAGATGCATGCTCGGTTGGCGCTTGCTCGGAAATCCATTACCATGTTGTCAATTGCCTCTGTTTGCACTTGCCTTGGTTTCTGAAAATTGTGCCAACCTTCAGACTGCCTTTACTTTAAAACAGGAATCTGTTGGTGGGCTGCCAGCCAGAAAAAGTGGCTGCCAGCCACTAAAACTGGTCGGTCGGCTAGTTTTACTAGTCGACCGGCTAGTAAAACTGGTGGTCGGCTAGTTGCTTCTGCAGGCTTCTGGTTTTGCTGCAACAGAGAACAATAGAGGCACAACAATGTATTTGCAAGACAATGTAGGTACTGCCACTCTCCCAATCATGTCTCAAACTCAAAGGAGCGTGGCACTTGACTTCCAAGCCACCAATCAAGCATCTCAATGATAGATGGCTTGAAAACCAAGCTTGTACAAGCTTAGTGAATGCGCATATAAGACTCAAAGTGTCGTCAACCTATCTTGCATGCTCAAGGGTGACAACGACCAAGAAATGCAACATGTTTCATCACCGAGTATGAAACGTCTCACATTTCTTGTGTTTGGATTAACGTCCGATCCAAACACATGCAATGCAACACACATGTTATCTTGACATGTTTTACTTGGCTCATTCTTGTTTACTCATTTACATTACCAAACCATTCCTTAATTGGTTAAGTCCAATTGCGAAAAGTCCTCTAATTTGAAAGATGACCCAAGCTTCGAGTGCCTTGAATATGAATGAAGTATCATGCTATTGGTTAGTTGAAATCCTCAAGGGAGGATCAAAACCAATAGGCATGAATGCCTCAAGTTCACGCACAAGCCAACAAGGGACTTAAGACCACTTTCAAAGTGAATGAAAGTTTGAAACGAT